GAACTGAAACATCAACACCAGTGCTTAAGCACACAACTATACAGCATGTGGAAGACGATCACTCTTCTCCGCATAGGTTTCAATAACAAAGTACACACACATACACACTTGTTTCCATCTCAAGGGAAACAGGTAGCTGCTTGAATTACCAGGAATGCAGCACTGGACAAAGGACACGATAGGAAGAGACTGGAGCAGCACACTGGAGACAGTGTGGAGGTATTTTCAAAGAGACCAGCTTTGGTACATACAGGAAACTCAAAAAAGGTCAAGCAGGGTAGATGTAATTATGTTTACACTTGTATTTCTGACTAAGCAGTAAATGCCCTGTACATAAAAAATAAAGCATAACCTCAATAAATGAGGGTTAAACCAGGTACTGGTGACGGTTAAAGTCAGTGAGTGGTGCCAGCAAAATACCTCACAAGTTCTTTTAATCCAAATGTTTTCATGTGAGTGTGGGTGTGTACTGTATATAAGGTAGGCCCGTTTAACAAGAGGAACTTGAAATACACTCCTTGATTATGAGTAATTAGAGTGTCCTATTCTACTACTGTGTGTGAATTAATGAGTGAACTGCATATTTCAGTTCAGTGACAGTCCCTGAGAACATGACAGGACAACTTGGCTCTATAAACTGTGGATTACAAAGTTGCACACACAGCAATGGTTGTGCCCTGCTGACTGCTGCTGGTGCACAACATTCAGTCAGTGCTCTACATGTGCAAGTGTTGGTGTGTGCCTGTGTGATATCTGAAAAAAGGCACAATCTGGAACAGTGCTGTACTTTCTCCAGGACTGGTAACACAGAGCACACAGAGATAAGAGAGAGGAACTAGGAAATAAAAAGGAAGCTCAACGTTTGTGTACACATGCATCACAGATATCCAAATGGTTGCTAAACAGTCTCAGTGTCAAACTGAAGTGGAATTAGGACAAGTGTGCCTTTTGGTTTTATTAGGTTTTTCTGTTAGTTAATGAATCAGTTAGCCTCTAAACTCATTTTTAAAAGTACTAAGAATAAAGCAGTAGTACATCGTCACATTTTAGATGCTGAAAGCTGAGTGTTTTCTTAGCTCTGCAGTCCACTCACTGAGCATCTGGGATGGTTCAGTCACATCTCACTTGAATTGCTATAACTGCTAATATTACTAGGGATTGTACGATGAGGCGTTAAGATTCATCCTGAAGGAAAAGCACAACACAATGGCTTGTTTGTAGCTGCTCAAAGATTTAACAAACATTCTTTGTCCAAGCCTCACAGTCGCTGTGTTCTGTTTTGCATCTCATGTTTGATGAAAAGACAAGACAGCACCTCGTTGTCCTTCTTTAACAAAGTGCATTGTCTTTTTCTTAGGCAACTGTCATTTCTCTTGCTGCTGTCTGTTCAATGGGGGCATTTCAGTGTCTCACATGTAGCAAACCCTTAGCAGGCGGTCAAGCCGCCACCTCTTGTCATCTGTTGCATTTCACTTTGTCATTCAAATTTTTGTATTCTGTGCTTGCAAAACTCATTTAAAGCGTTTTCTAAAAGGAAAATTAGGGTTCTGCACAAATTCAATGTCTTTGGTATTTGGTAATCTACATCAGCCCAGTGACTCAGAAGATGTGAATGTATTTGCATTGAGATGCTTTTGTTTTGTCTAGAGATTATTTCCTCCCTTCTTTTTTTGGCTCTCTATTAATGTGAGGACTGACAACAGTTTCAACTGCTGCAGATTAGCCTCCATTCATCCAGTAGAGCTCAGCACAGTACAGTTAATCTAGTTATTGTAGTCCCGATTTATACATTGTACACTCTAAAAGATATTTAGTGGAATGCTAGTATTGTCTAAGGTCAAATAAAAAATAAAAAAATGTAAAAAACACTATCTTCAGCTACTGTATATACAAATAAACAAAATGAGTTCAGTGAAAAAGTGTTCAGGGAGGCCTTGAACCCAGGATAATCAGCAGAGAATTTCCTGCTTGGTGGAAGAGTAAATCTCATTATGCAACTGACCAGGAGTATTCAGAAAGGACTACAGAGTCTGATGTCATACATTGCTATCGAGATCCCCACAGTAAATATAAATAAAACTCGCCTTGCCCTTGTATGTTTGGAGTAATGGATGACTATTAGGTTCAAAAACAGAGCACAATTTATTTGTAGATCTTTTAGATAATAAGTTAAACCTGTTTTCAAAAGGATGATGCTGTCAAAAGGACAGTTACAGGCTTTTGGTACAGTAACTGTTTATTGTAACATTATTAATGATATCTAAAATGATACATCTATAAATATAATATCAAGTTCTTGAGTTTGTTCCACATTTTCGAGGACGGTATGCGTTACCTATAATGTCTCCTCCTGCAACATTATGAACGCTGTTTCTCAAAACACAATGTTACTGTAATAGGATATAGTTCTCCTTTTTCACTGCACTAGGGCAAATAACCTGAATTGTACCGGTAGATACCAGTACCCTCCCACCCACTCCTGTTAGACAGCTAATCTGGTGTCTTTTTTCAGTCTACCTGCATACCTGCATGATAAAGCTCTACCTGTCCTACTCCCTGCACACTTCATTTGATCGCTCTCCCCCCGTTACTCTCTGTCCTTCCAGCTACACTGGTTAATCCCATTACCATGAGAGAGATGTTGAACTGCAACAGAGCCAAAAGAAATCAAATGAAAGTGACACAGAAAATGATAAGAAAGGACACTGGAGAGCAGACAGTGATGAAGAGAGACCTAACAGAAGAGACAGGACATTGTAGTGTGATGACACAGTACAGGACAGACAGGCAAGCTGGGAGGTAGGGTCAGCTACATGCAACACACACACACACACACACATTCAAGCACAAACTCAGGGACAATGGAGTCTGCACTACTGCTGAACTGCCCCCCTTAACTAGCCAGTCTTCCCCCAACACATAATCTCTGCTTTCATCTTGTTGTTGCCTTTCTATGGCTCTCTCTTCACTCCTTTCTCTGTTTTGCTCTCATTCTGTCAAATAATCTTTCATCACCCCACATTTCAGCAGACTGGGTGCAGTCTGGTTGCTTACCCCGTTTACTAATGAAGGGAGTCCATGGGCAGCAGTTCCCCTCTTTCCAACAGTCAAACCTTCATCGACTGAAGTTAGCCACTCGCCCTGTTCCCCAGGGCGAAGTCAGGTGTCTCAGCTCACACACACAAACACACACACAGGTGTTCCGTTCAAAGGAGGAGAAAGCGTCAGGATAGTCCAAAGGGTGAGTCTCTGTTAGTGGTATAGTCCAGAGAGAAGCAGAGGAGCGGAGCAGGACGGATCGTTTGCTTTAAAACACCGCATCAGCTGCCCGGCACTTCCTTCCACACTGCCTCTCTCTCTCTTTCTCTGTGACACACAAACACATTCACACGCACAAACAAGCACACTCTGCACCTCACACTCCCTCTGGCCCCTCTCGCTGCCTGGTTTACCGACTGACTCGCATTCGCACACTGAGAGAGCTCGGATCAGGCAACAGTTGGTGAATTCATGGTCCCTCCTCCCCTCCCTCCCCTTTGCGAGTGGTTACTTAGCAACTAGCTTTGGTGGGCGGAGCTTATGAGAGTTCTCACATTGCTGTGCACTCTGCTCTTGGCTCCCACCTACTCAGGCTATATTTGCATATCAAGCCCTGCCTGGCTCTCTGGACAGTGGCTGTGTGGGCTATATAGAAGGGGAGGGAGGTGATTGTTGTCTCGAAAGCTGAAACAGTTTGTCTTCAGTGATGCAGCAAACTCCACAAGATGGGTCAAAAGGAAAAAAAGACTACCTAGTTAGTAACAGGAGGAAACATTAGAGAATAAGACAGAGGTGATGGCAAAGCAGCGTAAGGCATGTGCTGTTCATTTCACTCTTCTAAAATCTGTCAAAACAGTTCAGAAAATCTGTATCTATAACGTGTCCTTGGAGAAGAGTAAAAGGCACCAATTATAAGCCCTATCATTATGGTTCAGCAACTATTATGATAACTGACTAGTTAATTAAGTAAAAATACAAACATTCTCTGGTTTCAACCTTCACAATGTTAATATCTGTTGGTTTTCTAAGTATTCTGTTATTAAACTGAATATTTTGGACATCAAGCTATCTGAATATTCTGATTTGTGCTTTGGGAAAATGTGATTAACATTCTGTAGATTCTTTGAGGAAAATAATTCTCTGCTTCAATGTGTATCACTAATACAGAGAATTTTTTTCCTCAAAGAATCTACAGAATTTGCATGTAAAAGCTGGAAAATATTCCCTGAGTGGGAAGCATATAATGTTTACCATTTTTTCTTTTTCAAATCTTGTCAGCTCTGCAGGGCATTTCCACCACCACTCCATCTTATACTCCTCACTTGTATCTTTCAAATTGCTCCTGTTCTAGTTGGATGCTGTCCAGGCCCTCTTATCAGAGTAAAGGATACAGAAAACAACTTGGAGTTGGCACCAGAGAGGCCGGACTTCATCTAACTGGAGCTGTAAAAGTGTTTATTACACTTGGTTGTCGTCAGTTAGTGTCATTCTTAGTGGAGCAATTTGGTTCAAACTCAACTTATTTTAAAGATTCTATATTCTTAGCTTATAGTCGATCTCTGCATCAGCACTGAACTTTTCAATTTCTCCTGAGTTTTTTGTATAGGCTCTAACATTATATAATCATATTTACTTTAGACCCTCCTGAACAAATTCTGATGTGACAGCATAGGATGCTATACACTTATCATAGCATGTAAAATCTTTTTTTTTCCTACAAACAGGTCACCAGTTCTAAACCTCACATGCACTCCTTGAAGCATTCAGATAACTATGTCACAGCAAATATTTGTATTTTCTATATTTCTGCTTTTCTTTTACTTTTCTGCATTTTGCTCGACTGAACAAGTCACCGTAATGATGAACCTTCTGGTAATATTGTCATCTGAGAACTTCCCTGACTGTTGTTCTACTTATATTTGAAGGACCTGTTTGTTCCCCATGCTGCAGGAACACGAGTCACGCTCTATACTCTTCCAGTAACTATATTCAGCAGCCTCTGTCAAGAGGTGGTGGCAGTTGAGCCAGAACGTAATCCTCCTAAAATTACAAGGAAATGTCAGTGAACTTCTTACCTTCTTCACCGTCTGCCTCTCTCTTTCTGACTACCTGCTTCTCTGCCACCTTTTAAAATTCATAGCTGCTGAAGTCCTGATGCTTGATGCAAGTACATGCTGATGGAGTGATGGTGAAAAATAGGGAGGAGGTGGTGAAAAAGATGAAGAGTAGGAAAGAGATATGGTCCAAGCTGAGGGCGCCAAATAAAATCTAATTATGTGGAAAGGAATGCAAACGTCCTAAAGTTTTTTCCTCCCTCCCTCCACCCCTTGTTCTCTTTCTCCTTCACTTCCTAAAGATGTTGGCAGTGGCTCAGCCAGTGGCCTGGCTATTTGTTTCTGTGCAATTTGTTAAAAGGACTGTCCCCTTTTCCCCTTTTAAAGAAACCATTTACCATTCTATTCATGTCTACCTGCCTCATTCAGGTGGCAGCATATAGTTATGGACAAGGTTTCACTACAAGTGTTAACACAGTTATGTTAATGCAATTCAGAAAGGGGAAGAAATTACCTCATTACTTTCTTCAGTGGTGTATAATGGAGAGAAGGGAGGTCCAGTATTAAAGTGATGAAGGTACATGTCAAAGAAGGAAGGTGTTTGGGAAATCTGCATTATCGCTTCATTGATTAATGGACACAGGCTACAGCAAACACACAAAACACGAATAAAATGAGTGGTCTCTTCGAGGATGACTATATTCCCATCCACAGATCTCGAGGGGGTCACTTAGTGGCTTGATGAGTATGAAAATGATGTGAGTCATATGCTATGGCCTTCACAGTCACCAGTCTCAACCCAGCTGAAGAACTATAGGAGATTTTGGATTGTCGTGTTAGGCCAAATTTAGACTTTGCATCACTGCACGTATGGGAACATGTGCATGTGTCGTTCAGAGATGGGTGCAAAGCTGTTGCATTTAGATTGAGAATAGGTGGTCAGTCAAGTCAAGTAATGCCAATTTGCTCCAACATTTTCAAAGAGGCAAGTACCCACTAGCAGACCAATTAGCAGGCAGCCACGTTTACCCAATAACCACTTTGCTGCATAGGTACGCATCAACACCTGTGTGTAGTTGCGGCACATCTAAATTAAGCTTTAGACAGTGTCTTCACCATCATCATCAAAACACCAAAAGAGAGACTATTGTTTGGAAGAATGGTGTTCATCCTTCCAGCAGAGTTCAGAGAATCAATGCCAACAAGCACTGAAGCTGTTCTGGTGGCATGTGGTGGCCCAACAAATTATTAAGACACTTTACGTTGTTGTTTTCTAATCTGTACCCTCACACACACACACACACACATATATATATATACACCCTTAAGTCCATCCACATGTAGTACAGAAAAAAATAAATAAAAGAAACAAATGTGCTTCTTGCAGAGTTCAGCTAAAACAGCTCTATGGGGATTGGAAACCAGCTGGTGGGGGTTGCAATGCAGCAAGATGAATGATAGAGAAAAAGGGTGAGAGAAGAGATGGTTAGAGCAAGAAGCCTCACAGAAAAAAAGCTTATGAGAAATAAATGGGACAGGGATACTCCTCAGGGGCAGTGGGTTGATGACTGCTTGTTTGGGCTGACAACTGCAAATTCCAATAACTCTGCTGCAGCTTCTTCTAGATACACAGCTGATTCTGATTTACCTTCAAGCACTAGAACATTGTTCAATCAATCAAGCATGTCATTTTCATGTAGTTGTTAAATGAAAGTAAATATCCCACTAAATTCAAACATTTACGGGACATATGGTAACTTCCAGTCAGTTTGGTGAATCACCCCAAGTGTGTTGCAAAGCTATAATTTCCACTGTGACTGGGATTGTTTGAATGTGTGTTGTTTATGAAATGGGGAAAAATAGATCGAGAAAAGGGAGAGAAGGAGGAGGCACCAATCTACAACTGAGCTCCTCTGACATCTTTTCTATTCGGTCCACACAACACAGAATCAGCAACCTAATTAAACATGCAGAGAGAGAATGAGAAAGAAAGAAAGAAAGAGGAAGTGATGCTGGAGAAAACAAGATGGGTGGATTGAAAACGGGTGAGATAAATGAGAAAATAGGGATGAAAGAAACAACAAACTGCAGTAACAGAGATGGAATGAGAAAAATCTGTGATAAAATTAGGCAAGGAAAAATAAAACGTGAGCAGAAAAGAAAAAGTAAAAAAACCAAACAAAGTATGGTAGTGTACAGTAAAGGGTTGCAGTGTTTTACACACTGGTTTTGAGCAAGAGCTGCTGGCTATCATGGGCAATGGTGCTGTTGCAAGCAAACTAGCTTATCTGCTTTGAAAGAAGAAGACAGAGTTTGGACACTAATTATGGATAACATGACTGACAGACAGACAGCAGAGCTCGGCCCAGACCTGGAGCACTAGTCACGAGAGATAATAGTTGACAGAGATAAAAGGAAAAGCGACAGCAAATTAAGGGAGGGGGAGAGCCAGAAAGTAATAGAAAGAGTTGATTATTTTATTTAATAGGACTCAGGGAACACAGATGCCTCTTGATGCTCACTACCACACTGACCCAAACATTAATGCCATCTCTGAAGTCCTTACAAGACAAGTGGTAGAACACTGTAAAGTGGAAAATTTGGGAAAAAAAAAACCCAAGTAAGAGAGTGTGATCAGTATTGGTCAGCTATCTGATACTTTGAACTACGGCATCATTCAAACTGGCACGGTGCAGTCTGTTCAGATAACACAGTGAGTGTAACTGTTGTGACAGAGGATTATCCACTTTTAGCAGAATTGTCTCTTAATTCATACTGGTGTTATATGTGACATGACATTAGTTTGTAAATATAAACGTGTGTGTTTTTAAGCCTGAAGAATGAGATAAGTAGATACTGTACATTCACTAATAAACACAGGTTTATGAAAGCATGTATGAAGAAATGTCTGCAGATCCATGTTTACACTGGCAATAAAGTACATGATCTGCACGCGCAAGCAGATTTCAATGTGTTCTGCTGAAAACTGTGACTCTCACTCTTCCTTCTGCATTCATATGCTGCATGTTCTGCATAAGAGATACCCAGACAGAAAGAGCAGTTTTAGGCAATGGATGGCTAAATGTGATTGCAGAACAAAGTGTTAAGAGGGGTGTTATAAAAACAAAGAGTAGTAGATTACTCATGTACTGTACATACTGAGATGGACAGTGAGGACAGAATGTTTGCATAAGCACATGCAGCACTGAATAGCTTTATTTAGCTTTTTCAAATACACACACACACACACACACACACCTTGGTCTTTAGATAATTATGAGGACACACTGATATAATGCATTCCCTACCCCTCACTCCAAGCTCAACCACCACAACCTAATGCTTTACCACAAACCAACCCTAACTTAAACTAAAACTAGGTGCTAAGCCTCAAAACAGATCTTTGAAGTTGTGAGGACTGGAGAAAATGTCCTCACAATACCAGAATGTCTGAAGATTACAGGTAAAGGGGGAAATAGTGATATTCACACTAGGGCTTAATGTAAAATGCAATGTAATGTAAAATTTTAAGGGTATATTTCATTCAATTTAATAGGATTTTTAATGGTACTAATTACATGTGTTAAAATCCCCAAACACAACCAACCTATTGATCCTTTGTACGGTA